TTGTTTATTTATAACTTTAACTTGAACTCGATTTTTGGGAACTTTTGAATCGGCTGTAATAGAATACTGTTGTTTAAACTGCGTGTCTTTTAAATAAAATAGTAAATAGTGCAACTTGTGTTAATATAAAGTTCACTTAACTTAATTAATTTATAATTTCATATGAAAAGAATGTGTAACCATAATACTATTGTTGTTTCATCAGGAACTTAAATAAACCTTTAACTTCGATGCGCCGTCGCAAGCGTGAAATAATTCCTACTGTGAAAGAAAGATCTGAGTGATAAGATTGCTTATTGATGGTTCGAATTCCAGGAAAGGCATGGCTATTTGTAAGTATAGTGTCTATGCGACTTTCGAGCACTCTAAATATGCGGCGAGCTGAAATTCCTCTCGACAGGTTCATGGTAGGGGAAAGGGATGGGAGTTCTTGGATCCATCCAAAACCCGGGGTGCTCGCCTTCAGAATTGGGGGCGGAATTGAGCAGAGTCATACTGTCATCTGCATGGTGTCCAAGGCTTTTGCCAACGACAGGCACAATCTTGCTTCCTGGCCACGATGAATTTCGTGGCTTGCTCTGATATCAGACAAGCAAAATTAGCCACAACAACAAAAGTAAGACGTGCATGATAATACCTGATACTAAGATACTAAGTTGATATATACTGTATTTCTACTGCACTGTGGCAGTACTTCCCAGTAACAGGAGAGACTTCCCGAAGAACCTGGCTTTGTGGAGAACTCAGGTGGATCCTGCGGCAGGAGGTCGTCAGGAGGAGATGATACCTGAAGGCCTACGAAACGCATTCATATAAATCTGAAGTCATTTCTGGGTATAAAATTTATGAATCTCTGCATAAATTAAATTCAGCACAACATCGAAAAGTTGTTTGAACTTTCTTAATAAATTCAACCAGGAATTCAGAGTTGATAAATTGATCTGAAGTAGACTGCAAAAATTCAGCCTGTATTCGATGTATTTGCTGTACAGAGAAGTAGAATCTCATTAAATAATTATCAAGAAAAAGCAGCCATACCTTATAAAAGCAAATCGAGATATTCTAAACTGTTAAAAGAATTAGAAAACATCTCATTCTTAACTTTGCAACTACAGAAAAGGTTTTCCTGCAGCATAAGGAGAGCATACTTAAATAGAGGTGGCCAGGAGGATACATCAATTCAAACCGAACACTTTCTTATTATCGAATATAGGTCAAAAATAAGTCAAAAAAGACGGGAGTATGTTAAGATTAGCTCTTTCATGACTTTTATAGCATTCAGTTTACGAAATAACAACCAGTCTAATCATTAAATTATGGCTATTTTCTGTGTACCTTTTCTTCTATGCAGGAAATTTAATCTGTTCACGTTCATTGTATTTATAATAAAATTTTCTAATAAACTATGCTTATTAAAGTTATAATTTTTTTGAATTAAAGATGATATAGGGTGGGAGGAAGCAGCTGCAACGGAAAAGCGATTTTGTTACATTTGGCTGAAATTCGGGAATTTCGAAACTAATATTTTCTCTACATATATTTTCAAATTTATTATTGGTAAATTAATGACGGAGGGAGTAAAAGTAATGTTGAACTTGGTAAGCCCCATTTGCTATTTGCTAGGACTTCAAAGAGAAATGGCATAACATTTATTTACACAATGCTTTGTGGCCCACCAGCGGCCGAGCGGTAAAGTCGCTGAACACTGGTAGTTCGGTTCGAGGTTCGAATCCCGCGAACGGGCTGGCTGCATGGGCGTTTTCGTGGTTTTCCCCATGTGTAACGTGTATACGAGCCAGTTTCCCTTAGAAAGTCCTCAACGAAAGGCATCCCTCCCCTTAGGCAGATAGCCCTCGTGTGCTTTGCCATTATTAAATACACCAACACAATACTTTGTGCCTCAAATGTTTGAATCTAATGAATTCAATTTTGAAAATATATGTTAGTTTATAAACTACTAAATTAAATTTGAAAATGATTATTTTAACTCTTTTTTTGTGTGTAAAACGTATAATAACAATTCTTCTTATACTTCATCATTTTAATATGTATATACCTTTCTAAAAGAATATACATTTGAAGGTGTATGATAAATTACCTAGTGAACGGTTCTAAATAGTATTTGTGAGTACTTCTTTTACCCTAATTTTAATTTTTCATTACGTATGGCCTTACAGTTATTATTAAATGAAATTTCATAACAATGGATCATCGATCAAAGAATTCCCTAACCACCATTTCATTAACCCACATTTATAACAAAAACATTTTTCCCCCATTTCTCTTTTTTATTTTATTTTCACGACCGAAAATTAATAGTTTAATTCAGTTATAAATTTTCATATTAATTTTTTTCTCGCTTCTTTTATTTACTAAACTGGAACTTTCTTTGGACATTGTTGTCAAAAATGATTCACGCTTTCTAAGAATATTTTCATTTCAAAATTCACATGTTCGAAATAAAGCTGATTTTTAATTAACGAAATACATTTATATGCATTTAAGTAATTTACAAAATGGTTTTCTTTTAATCTAGAGCGAAAATGTCAAATAGTCCTTTCCCGCCAATATCATTTAAGACGTCCTTACTTCCTTCGACGTTAAATAAAATGCTTTAAATGGCTCAAATATGCAATAGAAGTTTATATTATAATTATAAAATGAGGCTATTATTTGTTGCAAATTTAACAAAACTATAAAATATGCAAGCTGAGTTCTCATATATGTTTATGACATGCAAAAATCATGTACTTAGATTCATTGAGTACAAAACAATTGATGATTATCTTTTAGATGATTGAAAATTCAGAAGTAGAATCTTATTTCTTAGAAAAATATAATCTTATTTAATTTTATTTGCAGATTTATTCACTGAGCTACTCAGAACTGTTTTACTTTTTCTCAAAAATTAAGGTAGTCAGTCTTTACATATTCTGGTATAATATATAAACAGACTGTATATACTGAATAATATATATAGAGTGAGCATACACTTCAGTTTGTATAATAGTTATATTCTATTACGCCTATCTCAAGACAGTCAGTCTGTATGTACTGGGTAATATATATAAATTGAGTATATACTATAGTCCATATATACTTCAATAGTTATATTCTATTACCCTCATCTCAAGGCACTCACTCTGTATATACTGTATAATATATATGTAAATTGAATATATACTACAGTATCTGTATATACTTTAATGTTATATTCTATTACGCCTATCTCAAGACAGTCAGTCTTTATGTACTGGATAATATATATAAATTGAGTATATACTATAGTCCATATATACTTCAATAGTTATATTCTATTACCCTCATCTCAAGGCACTCACTCTGTATATACTTTATAATATATATGTAAATTGAATACATACTACAGTATCTGTATAAACTTTAATGTTATATTCTATTACGTCTATCTCAAGATACTCACTCTGTATATACTGTATGATATGTATAGATAGAGTATGCACTCCAGTCCGTATATACTTTACTAGTTATATTCTGTTACACCTATCTCAAGATACTCAGTCTGCATATACTGTGTAAATCATATATATATTACAGTCTGTACATATTTTTGTAGTTATATTTTATTACGTCTATCTCAAGATACTCAGCCTGTATATACTGTATAATATATATAGATTGACTATATACTACAGGTGTAAAAGTTATATTCTATTACGTCTATCTTAAGGTACTCAGTCTGTATATACTATATTATGTACGTATAATATATATAGATTGAGTATATCTACAGTTTGTATATACTTTAATACTTATATTCTATTACGCTTATCTCAAGTCCTAGGCAAGGATAAGGCCCTTAAAAGACGTTAAATTTCATCGGTTTGGGTAATTTAATTTATATTAAATCCTTAACAGAGCTTTGATTGAAGCGCTGAAGGATGAGTGCTGATATTGCACGAAGTCTTAAACAAAACTTTGTTTATCTTTAAAACAGAAAGAGGACTATGAAAATAAATTCGGAAATTATTTTTCCCCTTACACTTGCATAAAGTGAGCATAGCTCTGTCACTAAATATACGGTCGACAGTACTTTAGGCCCACCAGCGGCCGAGCGGTAAAGTCGCTGAACACTGGTAGTTCGGTCCGAGGTTCGAATCCCGCGAACGGGCTGGCTGCATGGGCGTTTTCGTGGTTTTCCCCATGTGTAACGTGTATACGAGCCAGTTTCCCTTAGAAAGTCCTCCACGAAGGCATCCCTCCTCTTAGGCAGATAGCCCTCGAGGCTTTGCCATAATCACACACACACGACAGTAATTTAAAGAATCATCTCTATACGCTAGATATAAAGAGATTATATATATATATATATATACTATATTTAAAGAGGCTGGAAATCAAAGTATTCGTAAGCAAAGTAATTTGCTTACGAATAAAAAGTAATTTTAATGTTACTTTTGTTAATTGTTCAGAATGGTGCTGGACACAAGTGAGTATATTTTAGTAATGAAATTCTTTTATCAACTATTTTTCTATATATATATACATTAATTTATATGGACTAAATAATACATCTTTCGCAAAATAATTTCTGGCTGTATTTTTAATGCCTGCTAAATTTCAGTAGCAAAGAATAAGAAAAATTTGGGAAGCAAAATAAACACGAATAAATAAAAAATATATTAATTACATATACATAATAATATGTCTAAAAATTTCTTTTAAAGAGTATTGTTTATTTGTTAACGTTATACATGCATGTTATAAAAAGGAATGATTTTGTCATACGTATTTTCCCCTTTCTTTGATACTTAAATTTATAACTCTCTACATTAGCTAAAAATTTATATTTTTATATTCACACAGTGCATCTTCTGTTGTAGAGGAAAAAAAGACTGAAAACCCCGAAATATACAATATAAAATAACCTAAATGTAGACTTTATTACTACATTTCCGTTTACTCAACATTTCTTTAAAGTTTTGCGAAATTAATTAAATTAAATGATTAAATGTGCTCACCTTCTCCAAACATTATCGGTTGCATGTATGTGTATCCATCGCAGCAAGCAAACAAGAAAAAAACTGTTAGAACACAAGAAGAACATATCAGCAATCTGTTCATTTTGCAGGAAATAAAGATTTAGAAATTAGATCTTATTTATACAGGTAACAAGTTCATGTTTTGACGTCCTTTCTTTCTTCTTACAAAATAGCTAAAGGTCATTCCTAATTTTTCTACTGAATTTAAGCGAAAAACCGCAAAAACGCACATAAAAAGATTACTCCGAGTAAGAGATTAGTTTGTTTCCGGGTCATAGCGGAAGTTGACCTCTACTTCCTTTGAACCAAACGCAGACAAAGCAGGGAAATTCAGTCTAAACATGAGTATATTTTAGCCTTCGTGGTTTGTTTAAAATGTGGTTAGACTTGTGCAATATTTAGGGATGCAGTCAGTTCCTGTTTCGCATGCAAATGATCACAAAGTTCCAGTAGCGGCGTGCATCTCTAATGTTAAAGTTCAAAAGTTTTACTTTTTCTTGTCAATTGTTCTAAGTTAAACTGCACATATTGGAATGTATGCAGTTTGGCTTTGAACAACTGAAGTTTGCAATGACATACAGAGAAAATAAATAAAAATAGGTAGGATTGTAGGGTGTCCCTTATTTTGCTCAACAAATTAGTTTAGCACCTTTTCTAAACCTCTCATTTTCCTCTCTCACACTTCCTCGCCAGGATGTAAATTTAAAGTTAAGTGAAGTGAGTATTTAAACGGATGAATCTTGTAGTTTATTCAGAGCGTGATTTCGCTAGTCAGCGCAAGTTACTAGTTTGTCCTTGCTGCTACGCTGAGTTTCTGGTACGCCTTCTGGTCATTTAACAAATACAGCGCCGGGTAGGTTGTTGAGTAAGCCTAGTTAGCCTAAAATTAAATTGTTAATCCAGTACTAGTCTTTATCTTTGAAATTATTGTGTAGCTAACTATTCTTAAGTTCCACTACATATCGTCGGTGTTAGTGTAAGCACGAAGTTCGTGCATTTGTGTTCAGAATTTGATGAATAATAAAGGGTTGTTATACCCTTCTTCTGTGCTGGTATTCGTTTACGCCTTTGCGAGAAGTTGCCAGTAAGATCACGTCAACTGTATGACAGCTAAGAAGGTCAGATCGTACAGGTAAGCCTACCTTTATAAATTTATCTATTTCCTCTGAAGTCTCGACTACAAAACTACGTACGCATTTACATGTGTACCTGAGAATGATGCACGGACACATGTGTACTGAATTTATTTATTACTTTTGTTGAATGCAGATGCTTATGTATTTGTCTTAGGACTAAAACTAAGTATTGGTAATTAAATTTGATAGGCTAAATCAATCAGTAAAAGTGCTCTTCTAATCGTGGGCCGTAGTACCATGTTATTTGCTTGACTGTGCCTCGAAAGCATTGCCATAATATTAACAAATGGTCATGATTTGCGAGGTAGAAGGTTGTGGAGACATCAGTTTTTTTTTTAAAGAAGGAGAGATGAAAAATGAGCAAGCCCTGGCCGGAACTCGAACCTCTTGAATACGCGCCGAGTATGCTGACTATTACACCACGAAAGGTATGCTAAGAAGGCGGGAGAAATACCTTATACACTCCCCCTTTCAAAGGGCGACTGAGGATTAGGAGACCCAATCGCCAAATCAAGGTGGTGCAGAATCATCATTCACCACCTTTTTTACTTCTGACGCCACTGTAGAGGCATTAGGTTTTTACTTAAACGTACACAAGCGCGTCTGAGGAGCTCTGACTTTGGATAAAGGATATAAGCGTACTTGAGATTTTCGACGATTTTTGTGCGTTCGTATTTCTTCCCAATATTTGCTGTGTTTCTCTCAAAGAGTGGGTAAATTTTATAAGGTATCAGGTAAAACGAATAGCCGCGAACTTATGAATCATGGAATAAGATGGAAAATTGTCGGTGGATTGAAGGCAGGCCAGTCATAAGCGTATAGTTCAGTGCAACGCCCAATGCTGTCTGTACATTTTCAGAACACTTGATCCATATCGAGAAGATCAGGACAAGGTCGATCGAGATGAATAATTACGGATGAGGATCGTTATTGGGTAATTTCAACACGACGACACGGGTCTGCTACAGCTTCACAGCTCTCCCTTTTATGTTGCCACTGGATGTGAGCTGCATGTTGCCACTGGAACTCGAGTTTCAACGTCTACAATTCCTGGAAGGCTTTATTAGATAGTACCGTACGTTCGAAGACCCCTCTGCCACGGTATAGAGGTCAGGGATCCGACTGCGATACCGAAGGGCTCGGGTTTGAATCCTAGAGAAGGCATGGATGTAAATTGCCTGTCCCTTAGTAGGAAGTAATGGTGCCCACCTATTAGCTGCTTCCACAATAAAATGGCCACCACTTCTGGTCTAAGGAGTGGCCAATGCTTGGAAAAAGGCAAGTACGATAAAAAAAAAATGTTAGAAGACCGGCTGTTTTTGGCCCACTCCACTGCAGAGCACAAAGGAGCCACTTTAGCATGGCGCAGACAACATACGCCTTGGACTAGATTTTAGGGCAGCATTGTGCTTTTCACAGATGAGCCAAGATTCAGCAAGGACTCTGATTCTCGGCGTACCTGTATCTGGAGAAAACTTGAGAGACAATACCATTCCTCACTCATCAGCGAAAAGGATCATTAGGAAGGCGAGGAGTAATGGTTTGGGCAGGCATTATGTTGGACGGCTGCACATCTCTGCATGTGGTGACGAAGGCTCCTAACTGCTATTAAGCATAGAGAAGAGCTCTTGCAGTCCTATGTTCGACTTATCAGAAGCGCAGTTGTTCCTGGGCTCCTGTTAACGCACGACTAAGCTCGTTCACACAGGACTTAGCTGGTCGACGAAACATGGAAAGTGAGGATGTTTGCCTCCTGGATTGGCCAGCCAGATCTTCTTATCTTAACTCTATAGAATATGTCTAGTACGCTCTTGGAAGTGCTATTTTATCTCGCCATGCCCCTCCTAGAACCATCCCTGCGTTTCGAATTTCTGGGAGGGCATTTTAAAAATTTTTGTATTTGTGCTGCGATGCGATAGCACATCGTCTGTGAGAATCGTCTGCGAGACTATCTGCGAAGTCGCAAAGCGTTACCATAGTTACCAGTTTTTTTCTTTACAGTTGTTATTGTTGAAAATAAATGAAAATGGTAGTTCTAAATATTTGAAGTTGTGTTTTAATTGCTTATTCGGACAACATTTTTTATATATCGGTGCATCGGCCGGGAAATTGTGTGAACCACTTGCTGTAAAATTGATATCTGTTTTCGTAAATCATTGGAACAGGGCACAGTAGATATTTAGTGATCTCTGCTATCATCAGACTCCTAAACGGCAGTTCACATTAGGACTTATCTGAACTAACAAAGACATCTGTCACTGCCAACACTGCTCCACGTTGACGAGAAAAACTGTTTTTCTTCAGTTGAAATATCTTAACTCAGAGTACAGCGGAGCTAGTCGACACATGGAATCGACTCTGTTAGTTCGGATAAATGTTAGTGTGAATGGCCCTTTATAGTTCTACCAGATATCTGTTACTTTCCCCACGTAATAATGTTGTTGAGGTAATTATTTAAATTATTTACATTACCATTCGTTAGACTTCTGTTCGAGTATAAAATCAAGAGGAAAGGAATCATTCCACTTTTTAGCACACATACAAATTTTATTTATATTATAATATTGTTGCGAAATGCCCAGCTGCGGCGGGATAGCTTCCCCGCAAAGTGGGTTTAGGGTCACCAGAAAATGGCAAGGAAAGACAGGGTTGCCAGATCTGGCGGAAAATCTCCAATTTGGTGATAGAACGGAGGAGCAAAAACATTCTAGAACAAATTTTTACCGGTTTACCTCAGAATGTTCTCGAAGGCAGGCCAAAAGCTATATAAACCCTACTTGTACGCGGAGTAGGAGTGTGTCTTGAGTTTTATCGTGAATATTATCTAGAGCACCTTGAGTTCAGTAGTAGTGTCTTGAGCTGCGAGAGCGATCGACGGAATCGGGAGCTGTACTTTAGTGCTTTGCCGTGAAGCTGTCTTCACCGTTATAGCCTGATAACCTGAAGGCTGTGTTGCTGATTGTTTTAGCTTGTTTATCGTAGTTTTTAGACGACTATAAACGTGTCTTTGGAACTCTCTCGTGCAATACAGGCGAATAAATTGTGTTTTTATTCTTCGTCAAGTGTTGTCATCAAACACTCCAAATCCAGGAATCCGCAGAACGCAACAATATAGTTGCTTACAACCCTAATTATTAGACACGCGCCTTCGATTAATACCGAGGCTAAACACCGTCGGTCTTTTAATGGTAATATTAAGTTATGGACGCCAGAGAAAGAATGCTCAGAGCGCTATCAATTCACAAAATACAGTAGTATATCGTTTTTTAAGGGAATGGAGGAATAAAACGATGAATTCAGTAAGATGATTAAAGCAGAGTATTTGCTGATTATGACTGATGCAGAGAAGTTGTTGCGTTTTGTAAATAAGAAACATATTGCAGATAACTAATATTTTTATTCCTTTCTATTTGAGTACACCGCAATAATAAAACTTCATTTTGATAAAAGGTCATACATGTTTTTCTTAGTTCAATTTTATTTCAGCTGAAGTACAATTTGTGGAGATTTAAAACGTTTTGATAGAATATGTTTAAAATAATGTTTAATAATGTTAAATGTTTAAATTTAAATATTGTTGAATGTTTAAATAATGATAATAATGTTAAACTTTGAAATATTGTTAAATGTTTAAATAATGATAATAATGTTAAATGTGTAAATAATGTTTAAAATGTTTTAATGAATGTCGCTTAAAACTTGCATGCAAAAAGAATGGTTTAAATAATGTTTCGAATGTTTTGATGAATGTGTCTTAAAATTTGTAAGCAAAAGAATGATTTAATTTTTAAAAAACGTCATAAATCTCGATGAACTTTTCGGCGCCATTATTTATCCTTTATCTTTTTCATTTCCTTTTCCCACATTCTTTGTACTCTTAAACTGAAAACTAATCCTGAAACCCTTAAAAATTAACTGTAACTTGCAATGAAATTAATAGTCATAAATGACGCTGATAACGGGAAAAACAGAACTGACAATCATATGTATGAAGCATTTCTGAATTAAGTTGCCATACTTGTAATGGAAAGAGAAAGTAACGCAAATAATTAATACGTACTTCACTTCAAATCGTTTTTCATTTCTCTCTCCAAACGATTCCTGCCGTAGAACAGGATCCAATGATTAATGCTGTGAAACAATAGTTCTGAGACTCAGTAAGGTCACATATATAGAACTTTTTCCGGAACCAAAATGGCGAACGATACATGCACGAAATCAGTCGTTGAGAGAATCATAGTTTAAGACTCTACCATATTTGTAACACTTGACAAAGAGAAGAAACAAAAACAAAATTACACAAGTTTAATTCGGATGATTGAAATTTAATTCATGAATTTAAAGAGTGAAAGAATAAGATACCTCTTATGCTATTCCCGTTAATAATGATTCGATATAACAGTATTTTTCCAAAATTTAAAAATGGCATCATTACTTATTATAAGGTGGCTTTAAATGTAAAATATTCTCTAATTTTACGTTAATTTATTACTATTAGCGTTATCAAAGGATTTCAGCTGGTTGTAAATAATAAGAAAATGTTTACATCTGCCGACTGATTTCGTTTTGATGATTAACTGAGTACTAGATTAAATAACAGCGTTACTCGATAGTTAACATCCTTATGTGCTTAGAGAGTGCTTCTTCTCGCTCTACAGATATTCTTCTAAAGTTTGCCATAATGAAATTAACCAACCCAAACAACAGTAGCACAACACGCTTGAGAAAACATCTCTAGAGCAACACAACAAACATCACCTTTAACTCAAAGCTAATCTAAATGCAAAGGAAAAGAGGTATACATCCGCCAAATAATATAGTATTCCATGAAGATGATTTAAGCGAATCTTTTTAGTTGCTGGAGTATAATTTGTGTAAATATGAAGATAGTAACTGTGAAAAATGGAGTAAAAGTAGCTTCCTATTGATTTCCCGAGTGAAGATTTGAACCTAATAATGAAAACTGGATCAGCTACGACCTAGATTTTGACGGAAGTTGGAAAGTTAGGCGAATCATTTTGAATGTGATGTCCTCCTAGTGATAAATGCTTCATGGAAGGAAAAAAACAAGCGTTAAATCAGACGACTTCCTTTTAAGAAAGGTCAAAGATTTCAGAAAATCCTGATTTCTCAGTTCCAAAAAAGTCAAATAGGGTCTTATATATGTATACTATTTTGAAATATATATAGAAATATATGTAGCAGATCTTATTTTCTTCTAGCAGCATGTATCGTAAGCGTGTTTACTGTAAATAAAAAAAAACCCTCATTAGGATTGCTTAGTTTAACTCTTTGCTTTCGAAGAGCATATACTGGGTATTAGTGGGGGGTAGTAATGTGATGACAAAATAAAACAAGCTCAAAGAAATCTAACTCAGAATTTTTTAAACAAATTTAATATCAAATTTGATAATTAAATCATCACAGCGAATTCCTTGATGACATATATATTTATACTTGGAATGGAAAATTAGAATCCTCGAAACTTACAAATCTTGAAAAAGATTAAAGATTCGATAAGATAAAAGACCCATCAAACATTTTAACTTCGGAAAGATTAATTACGTTGTTGTCCAACAGAAGCGTTCATTAAGAAAGAACGTGAGCTTTTTAGTAGAAGTGGATCACTAATATCATCTCGAAGTATTTCACCTTTAATTCTTTGGAGAGAATTTAGAATTGCATGTTAATGTTTATGTATGTTAAAATTTGAACTAATTCTCGTCTTCTACACTTATCTTAATTTAAAAGGATTCTTGAAAAAATTTTTAATTTGAATTATTGCACAAATATTGGACAATTTTTTTTGTTGTCTAATTTTAATGAGAAAAGTAAGCCTTGAGTTTCAATACAGTTAATTATTCATCTACCTCTTTTTAATAAATTCATTTGCATTTTTTAAACACTACAATTTTAAATGTATTTTTCATTAAACATAAATTTGAAATTTTGCTTTAATTAAAAGCTGTTAATACGAAGTAAAATTTTGTTTTTCTTCTTATTATATCATCTCATTTCTTTCGTATATGTAGAATTCGAAAGTTTCGAATAAATTTCAGAAACTTATAGAATTCGGATTTGAGAAAATTTAGGAATCATTCTGCTTCCATTATAAATCTTTATCAACATGAATATCTGCATACAAACATACATACATATATGCATACATGCATACATACACGCACATGTGTACATACATATGTATTTACATACGTATAAGGTACTTTCTCCCTCCTTCCAGCATACCTTCGTGGTGTAACGGTAGCACACTCGGTGCGTATTCGAGAGGTCCAGGTTCGAGTGCGGGCGTTACACATGGGGCATTGCTCATTTTTAACGTCTCTTGCTTCAAAGCAACCTAATGACTCTACAATGGAATCCGAACTAAAAGGTGGTGGTCGATAATTCGTCACCACCAGAATCTGGCAATAGAGTCGCTCTTTAAAAGAGGGAAGTACTCTTGGTACCACCTCTAGATTCTCGTTGTTTTTTCTCTAGGTTCTCGTTGTTTTTTCTCTAGATTCTCGTTGTTTTTTCTCTAGGTTCTTGTTGTTCTTTCACAACGCGAGAAACATACGTACATTCATGCAGATTCTTTATTATTTATTTTTAAAATATAATGTAGTGCTCTAATATTTGGTGGCAACAATCTGAAAAGTGATTCATACTTTTATAGTGAACCAACTCAAAATGCCAAAACGAAATTAATAGCCCTTCTAAGCTAACGCTCCTTGGGTTTAAAAAAAAAATAAAGTATTTTTGAGAAATACGATAAATATTTCAACACTATAAAAACATCCATGCCGAAAGGAAAAAAATAAGTCTAAAATTATGAAATTATTCGACTATTATGGTGGATTTCACCGCTTCGTTCAGTTTTGCTTTATTAGATTACGGCAAAGCACTCGAGGGCTATCCGCCTTAAGGGAGGGATACCTTCGTGGAGGACTTCTTAAGGGAAATTGGCTCGTATACACGATACACATGGGAAAAACTACGAAAAACCCCATGCAGCCAGCCCTTTCGCGGGATTCTATTCTCGGACCGAACTACCACTGTTTAGCGACGTTACCGCTCGGCCGCTGGTGGGCCCCTTTCGTTCACTATGTGCTCGATTCCATTCTGTCACTTTATCATGAGTAACTTAAAAACGCCATTTACCGCAGAATATCCTCCACGAAGGCATTTCCCCTTTCTGAAAGATAGCCCTTGTGCTTTTGCCATATTCAAATAACCTAATCTATCGCTTTTATGTTATTCTGATGAAGGCAAGAGAGTCTCTGTCTAAGCTTATATTGAATATTTTTTAAGAACCTATTTTCTTAATCGAAATCATAGATATCTTGCTTTTATTTTTCCTTTTAGCTTGCGTCAGAAAATTTCAGTTTATTTGACTTCTTGGTTTTTGGAGGATTTGAACACATTAAAATTATGTGCATAGAAATGGTGCCCTTTTGTAGTGGTTCTTAGAAAATAATTTTTCCGTCAATTGCATATATGCGCAGTATTTTCGCATCTCTTCTTTTTTTTTTTTTTTTTTTTTTTTTTTTTTTTTTTTTAAGTCCAAAGGGATTTGAATCCCGAAGGACTATTAGTTTTCGTTTTGGGCATTTTGCGTCGGACTCATAAATGTCGGTTCACTTTTTTTCAAACTGCTGCCACAAAATGTTAGAGTCCTGCATTATATTTGAAGAAATTAAATAATGAAAATCTGAATAATGTATGTATATTTCTCGTATTGTGATAAAACAACGGTACTAGAGTCATCGAATTTTGAATAACGTAAACCTCCAACGAATATGAGCATGTGGAAGACCAAAATTTGAAATTTGAAATTTGTTTTTATGATCGATTTCCTATTTTTTAAAACTTGACGAATTTTTTGATTAACAAAACTCAAGGATTTCAAAGCGAGCAATGGCAACGTTATGCAGAAAAAAATATTTTTATCTCCGGCGCGTGAGTTTTTGTATCGGAAATTCTAAAGATATGCTCATTTTAAAACTATTTTGCGATATTCCTGTTGAATTAAATTTTATGGTTTAAGTACGAAGAACATGATGTTTAACAAATAAAGATAACGCACAAAACGTTAAAAAAACGTAATTTAATTTGGACGTAATTTAAAATCTGAAACATTTCAGATTTTTTAATATTTTTTTTTATTTTTCTCAGTGGCGAGTTCAAACCGTCTAGTGGTGTTGGTCACTATTATGGCCAGATGTGGGGTCACTTTATTATGAAAGCACCTAACGGGTGGAGCACCGTTGGCTCCTATGAAGGGTGGTCAAAGTGCATCCATGCCTTCGCCGGGATTCGAACCCTGGCCGTTCGGTACTGCAGTTAGAGTCACAAACCACTTTCCCGTCTGCGCGACATTTTCACATCTAAGCTGAAGCATTTTCAAAACATTATACATACATTTATTGATCAAAAACGATACAATATTTTACGGAATAAACAACACAGATTTTATAACTGGTAAGTCTTTGCTTTTTACATTTCTCTGCTTAATCATAAATCTTATTTTGGAAAGTTCTTTCACATATTCTTGGTTCAATTCGCATACAACCTTGTCTAAAAATGAGGACTTTTAATGATCACTCCATTCCAGGAGGACATTCCATATCAGGGCAGCATTTGGGATAGTTTTCTTTACTTCCTGGTACAATGCTGCATCCCTTATGTGGTGCAATGGTGGAGCAACTGCAATATAATTACTAATAAAATAAGAAGTATTTTATTTCGCACCTAAAAATAATTGGTTTTAGAAACAGATTGTTCATTTTTCTTTCGTAATGTTTCGGCGTGACAGATTTTTAAACTTAGGCTTAAGCCATTTTGTTTTGATGAGACCAAATATTTAGTTCGAGACACAAATAGTTAGTTTTTTAAAGCATATCCTTCATTCCTGCCTCCTTTACAATTAGGGCCCACCAGCGGCCAGCGGCAAAGTCGCTGAACACTGGTAGTTCGGTCCGAGGTTCTAATCTCGCGAACGGGCTGGCAACATGGCGTTTTCGTAGGTTTTTCCCTGTGTAACATGTATACGAACCAATTTCCCTTAGATAAGTCCTTCACGAAGGCATCCCTGCTTTAGGCAGGGAGCTCGAGGCTTTGCCTTAATTAACTAAACCAAATCAAACCAACCTTTACATTTAGTTCTCGCAGTAAGTATTGGATGCAATCACCAGTGCTAACTTAAATGGTTTATAATCTATCTTCCCGTTAGTGTTAACTGGAGCGAACGTTTAGTGTTAGTTCTAAAATATTTGTATTTTGATTATTGAATGACATTACTATGTAAGAAAGATAAAATGTATAAAAAACTGCAAATCACACAGAAAAACGAATTTTACTTTTAAACACAGCCATGCCCATAACGTAACGAGCTTTATAAGGCAAAGTAGAAAAAGGTAGTCATACACTTGTATGATTTGAAAACAATTTAGAATTTTGTGAATAATTTAAGTATGTTAATTCATATTTAAGTGAATGAAATCATTACCGAAATGCATTTCAGCATATATTTGATGTATATTTAATATATTCAATAAAATACACAGCTAACTAGAATAAATCGAGTAAAAACATTCCATGGAAAAATGTATTCATACACATAAATATTATGTTAATACTAAAAAAAAGGAAAATATTTTGATATTTAATGTAATATTCTTTCGCATTAATAGTGGGGATGTTTAGGTACTGAATTTTCAAATTTCAAGCGTAATTCTTTCTTAATCTCGATCCATTTTTGTATTAAATGACCCTTAAGGCATATTTTTTCTTTGTCAATGAGTGTTTTTTGAAGTTTTCTTTTAATTTTTGACCTAATATGTTCGACTGGGTTAACAGTTGTGATGGAGATGGAATTTCTATAATATGTGATGTATTCGAGTTTCTATAATATGTGGAGTATTCGAGTATAATATGTGGTGTAACAATTCGAGGTTTGTGTTTGGGATCATATCTTGTTAAAAGTTAAAGTCTCTAAAAAGATCTAACTTGTGTACTCTGTGTTTCAAATTAGTTTTAAAAAATGTTCAGTTAGCTATATTGATTCAAAGCTGTATCAGTTTACTATACGTCCTCAAATTCTCAGATTCACTCTCTCAGACTCACTCAGACTCAGAACTCAGACTCACTTTCTCAGATTACTATACGTCCACTGTTGTCCTTCACCAGCTGCTTGTACATTTTCCTTTTTGATAACCTCGTCAGATATCCTGCTGAATAACTTGGCGTCCATCTGAACACTCGATGAACATTAAATGCACTTTTTTTTTTCGTTCAAACATTTTTTAATAAATTTCTAGTTTTATTATGAACTCCTTTTCTGATAGCTTTCTGGAGTTTAGATACAGTCGAAGAAGAGCTCAAGAAGAATCTAATTTAATTTTCTTCAAAATGAATCATTCGTCTTTTGCTAGGCTTCGATGATCTGCCAGAAAGACACTTATTTTCTACATCTCCTGTCTTTTAAAACTTATTTACTCTATACTGCACAGTAGCACGACTTTGACTTACCACGCTTCTCAATTCATGAAAAGATTATCCATTTGTGAGCACTTTTATAATGAGATTTCTCACATCAGTTTGTGCTTAACTTGTTTTGGGAAAGTGAATATCGATCATACTTATACCCTGCAGGGCAAAAGTGTAAGAGCCGATAGTGCCATCTGTCGGCAAAAATAATAACGAAAAATGAAGTGTAAAGTTAGTAGTATTTTAAAGGCATTAGGCAAGACAGGATTGGAATTAAAGTCAATTGACTAAACAGGATCAATTTTTGTGAATGTCAATGACTTTAATTCCAATCAAGTCTTGCCTTTAAAATTCTACTAACTTAACCCTTTATTTTTACTTACTATTTCTATCGTGTGTGTGTGATTATGGCAAAGCCTCGAGGGCTATCTGCCTAAGGGGAGGGATGCCTTCGTGGAGGACTTTCTAAGGGAAACTGGCTCGTATACACGTGACACATGGGGAAAACCACGAAAACGCCCATGCAGCCAGCCCGTTCGCGGGATTCGAACCTCGGACCGAACTACCAGTGTTCAGCGACTTTACCGCTCGGCCGCTGGTGGGGCCTATTTCTATCGACAGATGGCGCTAGGCTCTTCCACTGGTCCTGTAGGGTATAAATATGATCGACATGCGCTTTGTCGATTTTGCAAAATTTTTTGCTCCTGATGAAGGGGGACTTGTTTTACTCTCGAAATAGATTGAGATTCTACAAAACCTATGCCGAATACAAGATTGTCGATTTGCCTGTTTTATTTTCCATGTCGGCGTGTTTCTCTAGTTTCTTGATTTTTATATTAATTTACCAAATTTATAGAAAATATTTTTAGTTCTAATCATTTGATTTTTTCTACAATTTTGACATATATGACACGTTGTAAGCTAATTAACCTAAAGTTGATTGATTTAAAAATTTATATCCATGGTACACAAAAGTGTTTTTCCTCCCTGTATGTATATATACTGCACTGCAATCAAAATCAGTGAACAAACAAATATTAGCCAAATGGTTAAGTTGGCGTTGTTACCTTGTCCTTGTATTTCATGCAAGGATAAAGTAGGCTTTATTCTTGCATGAACTTTACTACGCCAGAGCCTCAAGTAGGTTTGACTTCTATTTCCACCCCAGTTTTGAGGGAGAGCAGCCCGAGGTGGTCCGAGGGTTTCCCACTGCTTGCTAGATGTTCAAACTGACCCCTCTCTCCATATTACCAAACCACAGGTGAGGACTTTCAGCTGACCATATATTTAGAGCGTCTCTATGCCGCAAAGACACTATACATTTACTAACATTTATGCATTTTCCGGAATTCGAACCCCGGCCCTTCGGTAGCGCAGTAGGCTCCCCTGACCACTGTAACGCCTGGACGGCTTTTAGGATTATAAGCAATGAAGGCGATTGTTTTTTAAGTTAGTGATAATAGGATGATAAATTATGAGAAGGGACTTATACAAGTAGTTAAAAATTAGCAATTGTTTGTAAAGATTTAACACTAACGTGATTTCTACCAAATCAACCCCATTTAAAAATGGCAAGAAAGAACATTTTTTTGGGAGGGGGTAACAAAAGCGTAGCTTTATGTACACACAAACGCAGGTTTGCAGAAGTTACGGTTTCAATTCATTACAGAGCAGTGGTCTCAAAGTGGCGGGCCGCGGGCAGCATGCGACCTCCGAAACAATTTTATGCTGCCCGCAAATACATTTCAATTATGTTTTTGTTGCAAATACGGCGTTGTAAAGATTTCAAGACGTTAGTTATTTGAAGTCCGATTTTACAATATTTTCATTACCATTCAAAACGAACTTTGTATAATATGTGGTATTGAATAGCTCATCAAAAAAATCAGTAAATAGAGAGCTAATTAATTTACAATGTAATATAAATCTTACTCAGAGATTTTTATTAATTTTTATTCGTACATCTGTCAAAAATTAAATCAGTTCACGAATTTTCGCACTACGAATAATCGCTTTGTTCTGGAATACATGTATTTATATACGAAGAGGAATTTTTCAGAGATGAAAATTAATAAGAAAAAGAACCCGACTGACCGACCAGCACCTGCAATCAGTGATGAAGATAATTTCCGGTAATTTTTTTTTTCCAACTCTACGAACTTTAGTACAATCGTAACGTCATCAAGTGTCAAACTGTAGTATGAAATAAAGAAGTTTACGTACAAGCGTATGTACTGTTATTTAAGCGTCGCAGGAAAAGTTAATAAACAGCAATCCCAAAATGTATTGCAGGTATCAAATTTTAAATAGAAAATAAACATAAGTTTGAATTATTTTCCTTCGCGATATTATTATTATTGCTTATGTATATTTTGAAAAATACTTAGTAAGAGATATTAAAATTTTATTTAAAATAATTTTTATTTTGTTAACGAAATTCTGACCTGTTTCCAGATTGAGACCACTGCATTAAAGTTTGGTTTGGTTTAGTTTACTATGGCAAAGCCCATAGGGCTATATGCCTAAGACGTGGGGTGCTTTCGTTAAGACTTTCCAAGGAAAATTGGCTCGTATACAGGTTACACATGGAGAAAACCACGGAAACACCCACGCAGCCAGCCCATTCGGCTGGATTGGAAACCCAGGTCGGAGGTACCAGTGTTTAGCGATTTTACCGCTCCCTACACTGGAAAGTTAAATGTTTTTTCTTGTCTGCGATAGGTAAATATTGGTGAGAAAATAAATATAGCTTAACAACAGCAACAGAAAAAGTAGAAAAGCCTTTAAGTAATAATAACAGAATATTTCCAATCAAATAGCAATTTCTAGACTTAAAGCGTGAAACGTTTCTTTCCAATAATTGTTAATTAAACAGCAAAGAACGTAAGATTCTAACGTAAAATTTTGGTCAAATGTGTATTGATTTATATCATAAAGAAATATTGTAATACCCTTGTTATTAGTATGCAGATCTGTAGCTTTTTCCTAAAATTTTGTCTAACAAAATTAAAGTTATTATATTTATGCAAAGTTGAAAAATTAAACAAAAATTTGTTAATTACCGAGCATTTAGTCAGACACGTTATTTTAATTGTTGGATAGACCAAAGACCAAGGCCAGTTATTTATAGTCTTTTGTGTAAGCCCAAGATTCTTCTCATTATCTAAATAAATTAAATAATGTAGTTATTGTTTAAAAATAATAATCTAGAGTTAATT